GTTTCACTCAGAGGTCAAGGAATAGGAGATAGGGTTAGAATTTAGGAGCTGATTTTTGGATTATCAGAACGCAACCCTGGTCCCGACCAGGTTAGCCGCACAGCATAAGTTACCATGGAGATCTAGCCTGCTAAAAAGAGAACCAGCTTCGTAGGACCGGAAACCCCGAGTTTCCCCTGAAGTTAGCCGGCTAAGCGAAAATCCTGCTTCGTAGTATACCCCCCTGTTTAACCAATATAACATGAAAAGCTTTCTACATATTGTGATGGAAATTCTTGAAATAAACTAGTCAAAGAGTTGTCCTTCTGAGTCTTTAATCATGTTTTGCAAAAGAGGCGCACAGCATACTGAGAGCAATGTCTCCACAGCAGAGTGCAACTACTCAGACTGAAGAGGGCTTTCATACAGTTACAATGAATACGCTTATTCATGAGATAACTGACCCCTGACCCTATCAAAGTGCAATAGAGCCATGATCACTGGTCACCCCCTGTGTGATCACATGACTGATCATTTACCTGGGTGATGAGACACACAATGTTATTATTTATATGTTATGTAACGATCACAAAGGGAGTCGGAAACAGGCTGCTAGTTATTAGGCTTTAATAACTCTTCTTCTTTACAGATGATCACAAGTTCAGGAACAGCTTGTGGGTTCAACCTCCACTCCACTCACACTAACACTAACTTCTACACATACCCATATATATAACAGTGTCTACGTCACAACTTCCCGCCCTCCCCCGTCTGCTCCCCCAACCACAGGCCCGCACCTCAACCAGCATCACTGTGCAGCTCTATGATTGGCAGAGAGACGGGGGATGCCTGAGTGACACCCTCAGCATCCTATACAGGGTCGCTACACTACCCCCCCACTACAAAGTTCCTCGCCCACGAGGAACAAATAAAACTCAGCACAAACACTACCCCCACCCTCTCCAGTACTCTGCAGGGACCAACCCACTGACTGTCCAGTTTTGGGCACCGGCCTTTCTTCCGTTGTGGGCTGTAGACCCAGACCAGCTCCACGGCCCGAAAATGCTGCCCTCTTGTCCTGGTGTCATAGTTCCGCTTCTGTCCACCTCGTCCAGTCTCAGCTCCATCTCCTTCAGTTCGCCTCCGAGTCTGAACCTCACAGAGTCCAGGGTCTGCTCCACCTCTGCCTTCATCGAGGCCTCTCTGTGTTGGGCGTTCTGCTCCATGGTACTCCTCTCCGCTATAGCTACGCTTGCCTGCTTCTGGGACTCATCCAGCTGAGATTTACAGGTATCCAACTCTGCTTCTGTCCTTTTCAGGACTTCTAGAGTTTTCAAAGTCTCCAGTTGGGATTGTCCTAGCTTATTCTGGAGCTCGTTGTAACCTTGCTGCAGCGCCTTAGCGTCTCTACCCATCTCGCTGATCCTCTCCTGGTACTTGATGCAGTCCCTCTGCAGCTGCCGGACCTCCAGCTGCTTCTCCCTCAGCAGCTCCTCCTGCTTACCAGACTCTGCTTCTGCTTCTGCTCTCTCTCTCTGTGCTTGCCTCATGTCCTCCTCCAGCCTGGCGGCCCGGTCGTTCTCACTCTGCGCCTCAGCCTCCAACTCGGCCCGCTCCCTCGCCAACCGCTCCACCTCCCGCTGCAGCTCGGCCAAGTGCTCCCGGTTGTCCGCCGCCTCCTGCTGGTAGTCTGCGATGCTCAGTGGTGTAGTGGGGATTTTTTTACTGGGGGGACGCTATTTTAATTAGGTCATCCCAAACAATGCCACACAAGTGCGCAGTGCATTCACAAAACGGGCAGACAGGTCCACAGAAACTACCGGTATGCTTAGTCCTACTTTAGTTACTGTACTGCAAAAAGCAGACGTCGCTGCGCTCAACACACACACAGACTCAACACCATGGACACACTGGCACATAAACAATGTATAGGCCTAAATTGCATAAGCTACAGTATTGCAGCAGACAGCGCTGCTTCTCTCTCTCCCTCTATCTCCACTTTCAAAATCTATTTAAACTCATAACAAACAAACAAAATTCCCAAAGTTGTCCTGAAATTAACTTATTAAATAAACAAAACCAAAAATATAGCCTACTTATGCAAACAACATTGAATCTGGACTTGACATTATTCTGATTAGGCCCAGCTTACATTGCAAATAAGCGGACAGCGCTGCTTCACACACACACCTTGCGTTTTGAAGACTGATACATCCGAAATGGATGAACACACTTTGCAGCCCAGTTTCCCAGCTTTGCAGTGTATCCACGGGTGTTCCTCTTGTTTCCTCCGCCACATCTCCTCTGTCCATACCTCTGGGAAAGGTGAGCTTGAGATAGCCAGGGCAACGTTGCTAGCATAGCTAACATTAACGTTAGTGCTAGCATTATCCACGTCTTTAGGCGGCTCTTCTGGTGATGTAGGAGGCAACTAGTAGCAGCTTCACTTGTAGCTTCGGTGCTGCTAGCCTCTTTCTTTTTGTGAATGATATTCTTTTTAGAAAATAAGTCAAGTATAGAATGTTTGCCTGCCATTCTCGTTAGCGTTCCTGAGGGAAAGAGCTGCCGCCAAATCACTGACACACCCCCAGCTCGCCGCGGGGTCACGAGCGTGATGACGAATCATCATTTTTTAAGGAAATCGTTTTTATTTTTTATTATAATTACTGTGAAATGTATTATGTTTTTGTCATTATTACAACAAATGCACACTTACAACTGATAACACTGGCAATGATTTTATATTTATTAGACTATTAAAAAAAATATCATGCTCCAAATAAGTGGGGGTACGGCGTACCCCCGCGTCCAACGCCCACTACACCACTGGCGATGCTGCCATTGAGCTGGGACAGCTGGTTCGTCAGACGCTCCTCCAGGTTGTCCTTCTCGGCTTCCAGGCTCCTGAGCAGCTCTTTGAACTGCACCTCCCTCTTGGCACCCTCCTCCACCAGGCTCCTTTCTCTCTCTTTGCCCTCTTGGAGGCACTTCTCCAGAGAGTCCACAAGGCTCTCCTTCTCTTTACTCTCCTGGAGATCTCGCTCAAGAGAGGCCAGCTCCGCTTTGAGTCTAGCCTCCTGTGCTGCCGCAGTTCCCTCTCTGCATTGACAGCTGCTTCCATCTCCCTCATTTTCTCCTCTAATAAAACTTGGACACTTTCAGTCATTTCGGTAACCCATACAGGCTTCTCCTCCACTCTGCAGTTCCTCACAGCCGGTGGTACCGGCCTTCCGTTGCTCCTCGCCGCTACACTCCACACAATCTCTCTCTCCACAGCCATCTCTAAGGCCGCCTGCAAGGACTGTGGATGCTGCAGCTGTACCCCAACCCTCAAGTCCGCAGGGAGGAGAGCCCTGATGAATTGATCACGTGCCAGCTCACTCTGCACTCCGGGTGGCATGTGTGCATATGCCCGCCGCGTCAGGCTCTCCACGTCGTTAGCCAACGCACGCAGCGTCTCTCTAGACTTCCTACAGCGGTTACTCAATTCGTTCCGAAGCAGCTCTGGTGGGAAACACTGTCCAAACCGCCTCTTCAAAGCCCCCGCTAACGCTTCATAGCTGTGTCGGTCCTCAAGGCTAAGTAGTAGCAGACATGAAAGAGCCTCGTCTGTGAGGCACAAAGCTAGCTGTAGTGCTTTAGTCTCTATCGACCACCCCCCCGGCATGTGCAAGTAGTTCAAATTGGGCATGGAAAGCCTCCCAGTCTGCCTTACCCGAGTATTTGGGTGTTTTCACGGACGCGGCGGCGGCTGCTACTGGTTGATGGGCGCCGCCATTGTTGTTTACATCCAGCTTGGAAATGGCGCGAAATGGCGCTGAAGACGGCGACATTCCCGCGTCTCTAGCCATCTTCACCGCCGACTCTCTCAGGCGCTCTCTCGCCTCCCATGCACTCCTGAACTCCCCACTCATGTCCTTCGACCACCCGCATGCTCCCTCTTCCTCTCCACCACTACTTTCCTGCTTCACTCCCATCTTGCTGAACTTTTCCATCTCCGCTAGCTTACCGGCTAGCTCCGTGACGCAGTTACGAACTCCCGTCAGGATAGACGTCCTCCGTTCGAAAAGTCACTTCTGACACCAATGTAACGATCACAAAGGGAGTCGGAAACAGGCTGCTAGTTATTAGGCTTTAATAACTCTTCTTCTTTACAGATGATCACAAGTTCAGGAACAGCTTGTGGGTTCAACCTCACACTCCACTCACACTAACACTAACATCTACACATACCCATATATATATATATATAACAGTGTCTACGTCACAACTTCCCGCCCTCCCCCGTCTGCTCCCCCAACCACAGGCCCGCACCTCAACCAGCATCACTATGCAGCTCTATGATTGGCAGAGAGACGGGGGATGCCTGAGTGACACCCTCAGCATCCTATACAGGGTCGCTACAGTTATATATGTAACGTCATAGTATTCAATTCTCTGATAATCATAATTTCCATTACAATATAAAATAGGCCTTGACAACAGTCTAACAAATCCAAACTATGATGCAAAACTCAAATAAAAGAATAAACAACTTCTTTCTTTAACGTTGCATTATATAACTAACGGTTATAATCTCTGTCTTGTCTGTCTCTTAAAAGGCAGGTACCGTGTGAAATGTAATCTTTTAAAGTCTCTCGACTACAGAACTCACCATTAGGGGTGACAGTATTTTCCCTTTTTCTACTAAAGCCTGGCTGTAGCATTAGTCACTTCATAAAGTTGTGGCATCCCAGTGTAAATCACTATTGTATTAATTAACAAAAATAATACACAAATTCAAAGGAGCTTTAATGGCATCACCATATCAAACAACTTCTTCAGAATCAAGATGAAATAAGAGTTTGAGAAATAAATAAAAACTCAGTTATGCAAAAAAAGAATGTGTCGACGTGATACATCAACAACATTAAAAGAAATAAACAACAATAAAAGAAAGAAGTAAGAAAGACCAGTGTTCCTGAACGCAGCACACAGAACGAGATTTGGTCACGTGAACACAGAGTTTCCACGATATTTAAGGAGGAGGAGCACAGGGTATATTTCACACACACAGCCGGAGCAGGAGCACTGCAATCAGCATGGAGGAGGACAGCAAGACCCCCGGAGAACAAGCAGCAGCCTCGGACTCTCAGGTGAGTGTTCAACGCTTCCTCCGGGGACAAAGAACTTTGAAACAACTAAAAACACGAGGAGAGGAAACAGGAAATACGAGAAGCGTTTTATTTCGAAAGTCAAAGAAACGTTCCTCTGTTTGCTTCGGGTCTACTGGTCTGAATTGTGAGCATGATTTATTTAAAGATAAATGTGAAACCTTCTTTTAAAATAATGACAGTAATTGTGCATTGTGAGCACGTGCCTGTGTAGTATATTTGAAATGAAGTCACGTGTGTACACCGAAAAAGACACAGCTACATTCAACCAAAACAAGGTAAACATTTACCTTTTATATAATATTTATAACAATGCATCAAATACTGAGGTGGGAGAAGTACTCATATCTTGTACTTGAGTAAAAGTAGAAGTACTCAGACCTTGTACTTGAGTGAAAGTAGAAGTACCAGAGTGTAGGAATACTCTGTCACAGTATTAGTCCTGCATTAAAAATGTTCCTCAAGTGAAAGTAGAAAGTATTCTCATCAAAATATAGTGAAAGTAGCGACAGTAAAAGTAGTCGTTGTGCAGATTGGTCCATTTAAGAATAATATATATGATACGTTTTATAATAATTGATCATTAAAGTTTTATCAAAGCACTGCGGTGCATTTAGTTTTAGGTTGGATATTCGACGGACATTCGCGGACCCGCCAGCAGCGTCAGTTTCCCCTGCTGCTGGATGTATTAGACGGGGAGATCTTCTCCGCGAAACGAGGCTTTCACTTAGGGACCATCAACAAATGACTTTTCAATTACACAAGAACATTTTTCTTTTTAATAAATCGACAGCTTCCCGATCGAGTGAATGTGAAGCAAATCCACGCTAGAGCATGCATTTGTTGAACACACCTCTTTTATTGCATTTTAATACTTTAAATACGTTTTATTAATATTGTATGGAAACATTTGCATATTTCTTCAATAACTTCTAGATCATGTGACCTAATGACTCACAATAAGTGCTGGATAAAATAACTAAACTTGCTGCATAGGACACACGTCTTTTTATTGCATTTTAATACTTAAGATATTTTTATATTAATATTTTAATGCGAAAATTAGCATATTGCTTCAATACCTTCCAGGTCATGTGACCTAATCACTCAAAAATAAATGTTGGGTCAAAGAGCAATAAAAAGAGGTGTTTCCTATTCAGTGTAGTTCTTTGACCCAGCATTTATTTTTGAGTGAATCGGTCACATGACCTGGAAGGTATTGAAGCAATAAGCTCATTTTTCTATCAAAAATATTAATATAAAAATATTAAAATGCAATAAAAAGAGGTGTGTTCAATAAATGATCTAGAGTGAATTTGCTTCACATTCACACGATCGAGAAACTCTCGATTTATTAAAAAGAATATTTTTGTCTAATTGTAAAAGTCATTTGTTGATGGTCCCTAAGTGAATGCCTCGTTTCGCGGAGAAGATCTCCCCGTTAAACTGACGCTGCTGGCGGGTCCGCGAATGTCCGTTGAATATCCAACCTAAAACTAAATTCACCGCGGTTATCAAAGCTGGTAAAGGTGCAGCTAGTCTGAATGACTTTGTATACTGCAGGGTAGCTGGTGGATTTACTCCAGGTGGAACTAAAGTCTGATTTAACACTTGATTATATTTCACATCATTCATCCACATCTGTGAAGTAACTAAAGGTATTAAATACATGTAGTGGAATAAAAGTACACCATTTACCTCTGAACTGTAGTGGAGTAGAAGTACAGAGTAGCATAAACTGGAAATACTCAAGTGAAGTACAAGTACCTCAGAATTGTACTTAAGTACAGTACCTGAGTACATTCAATTTCACCTAAATCAGGTTTCACTTTAAACCAATCACAGCCCTGATTTTACCTACATATGGAAATAACAATATAGTACATATAAAAGAGACATCACGCCTCTGTGCCATGTTCTCAAAGCCCATGAGTGTCTTTACCCCTTTGTCTGCACTGATGAGTTGTTGGCAACATGTTCCCTCTATACATGGACAACAATGGTTACAAAATAGCTTATCCAAACAGGTTTAATCAACATAAAACTGGTTTACTGTCAGCAGTGTAAAATGTGTTGTTTTTTAATGTTATGTGATTTACACACGCCTATATGGTTCCAGAATTGGCCATTCTGACGAATGGGTTTTACTTCTCTACTATTTCTACTGGTGGAATTTAACGAATAGAACAAATACTAATAAAATGGTGAGGAATAGTTTCTGTTTTACTGAAATAAGACCGTCTTTTCATATATTCTGGCAAGAAGGTTAAAAACATCACAGGCTGTCTGCAGAGGATCTTAAAGAAACATTTTGGACTAGATTGCCAAGAAAACTACATTTTAATTTAAATCCAGCAGCATCGCCCTGGTTTCCTCAATTAAAAGCCAATTGGATTTTTCCGTTGGATTATTGCAGAAAATAATCATGTTAAGCAAATATTTAAAGAGCAACTTGCAGGTTTTTTTTTTTTACTTGATTTATGCTTAACCTTGCCTGAAAATTACAATTAAAAAGTTAATGCAGGATTTGATATGTTTTACAAGACATAAGGGCAGGAATTCAGAGGGAAAGGAGACGTTTTGAGCTCTGCTACTAAAAACTGCTTTTTTTTAACGTCATACAGTACGTCAAACGCGTCATATTACGTCACATGGGGGAGCAACTTTCTCGGACTCCTTCTCTGCCCAATCCGCGGTAGTAGTTTGTAGTTGGTTTGAGCGGTTGTGATTTGGGAGCTGGTATTTTTTCGGTAATTTTACATTGCATTTCACCATCTGTAATCATGGTGAGCTGGAGTTTGTGCAGGTTGCACAAACTCCAGCCTGTCAGGACATCGAGTCCACAGTTTCCCCTAACAGGAAAAGGACCGGAGCTAGCTTTTGTTCCTTTGTGCGAGGTGCATCCACCTCCCTGCAGCACATACTCTCCACAGCTGAAGCCTATCAAACAAAACGTTTATCAGGAAACCGTATTACATCTCTCTCCCCCCCCTTCGCTCCTCTCACCCCTCCGGTGCACGGCACCGTAAGACGTAGTGTGGAGTTGCATTAGGTAACGCTGTGGTGGCTGTACTCCTCCAGCCGTCTCCTTTGTGTTTGTTTGTTTGTTTGTTTTCCCCTGTCTGTGTTGTTTGTGTGGGCGTGGTGGCTGTCACTCCTGGCTCCCGGTTCAACCTCCACTCACCTGCTGCCAGAGATGGAGTACTCGAGTCCCGGACTGTGCCGATTTTCGGGATTCGTGACTCGACTCGGACTCGCGCACTGATTGACGCGACTCGGACTTGGACTCGTGAATTATCGCGTACGCTGACTTGGACTCGAGCAAGTTTTCTCTGGAGTCTGATGTCCTCTATCCTGGCGTGTGCACTTGCGATGCGAGTTCACGTAGGCTACTGGGCCCCGCTATTCCAGTCTAAAGCTGTCTAGAGACACACCCCGCATCGTGCTGTATGCTTTCACATATTCTGCTTCCACATTGGAAAAGAGCAAAATGCTCGTTGTGTGGAAACAATATTGAAGAGAAGGCTCCGTAACACATTACTCTAAGGATCGAGTTCAGACATAGGCTGTCTTGAACACTATAATCAGAGTAATGTGATCTAATCAATAAATAAAGATTCAGCTGATAACACGAAAGCAAATGGCTACTTAACATGCATGATGAAGTCATTTTGCATGCTAAGTAGCCATGTGCTTTCTGGGGCTAAATCTTTATCAGTAAACCAATTTAACCGGTAAAAGTTCCTTCAAAATAAGAGTCCCGATCTTATTACTATCAAAATAAAAGTGCAAAACGAAAACATTACCATAGGAAAATATTGGCATACAAATATTATCACTTCTCTAAAAGGTAACTCATTTTAAATATAGTTTATATAATAATAATATTAGTAATAAACTTTGTATTTGTATAGCACTTATTACAAGAATTGTAGCCAAACTGGCTTCACAGCAGTTCAATAGACAGATTAGTATAACATGACAGGATAAAAGCAATGTAGAGGAGCAGCTACATTTCAACACATATATCCACGAAGGTTAATACATGAAGACTTGTGACTTGACTTGGACTCTTCTTAGGTGACTCGGACTTGGACTCGAACATAGGTAATGATGACTTGGACTCGGACTTGAAGAGTGGTGACTCGTGAGTGACTTGGACTCGTGAATTGGTGACTTGACAACACTGCCTGCTGCAATCAGCTGTGCACCCTCCCCGACTACACACCTATTTTCCATCAAGCCATTTACAACGGCATATCAACGGAGGCTCCACAACCTTTCTCTGCCAGATCGTTGTAAAACCAAAGTGGTATAACTTCAAGGCTACTTAGCATTATAGCTATTTTCTCATACCTGGATGTTTTAGCGTCTAACGTGTTTTCTTCTTGTGCTCCAGGATCATTCTCCGACCGCCGTGTTGCCGTCACCAGCGGCCACGTCCTCGCCACTCCAGCCGGATTCTACTCCCCGCACCTCGTCCACTAATGGCGCATTTCCACTGCAGCGGGTAGCCCCGTTTAAGCGTCCTTAATCGTCCTCAAGCGGCCAGGCCAGTTTTTGGTGGCTTTCCATGTAGCCTAGCACCGGCTAGCGGGTACTTTTTCCCTATTTTTCCAGCCCCATAAAATCGTGGTTCTATCAGGCCAGGGCTGAACTAGTGACGTCGACACTCTCGACTGCTGATATATATATATATATGAGAGAGAGAGAGATCGAGATCGATCGATCGAGGGAGATCGATCGAGGGAGAGGTCGAGGACGTTCCTACATCTCATTGGGGATGATAACATCCAGCCGGAGCTCGACGGGAGCCCCGCCTACACTGCGGTGCTACCCCAGGTCCTAAACTGTAATGGCAATGCGCCACGGCCAGCGAGGACGCTTAAACGGGGTTACCACGCTACAGTGGAACTGTGCCATAATAAACCCTTTTTCAACACTCTGCCGTGTCCTGCGTTTGGGTCCTCTCAGATACCGTAACAAAGGCGAGCTACGGCTGATACTTGCGCATTAGTTTCTGTTATGGATCAGTATCAACAGTCCTGCCAGTAACGTTACTATATTATCAATACTACTTTAGTTATAGCCTGATTGCTAACTTTACAATGTTGTGATGTGACCGACGTTAGCTAACATTAACTGTAGCTAACGCCGGTCACTCAACAAGACAGCTGCCCTGTTCTCCACTGGTTCTCCTCACACCACAGCTCCATTTCTCTCCGGTGGCCGTTATTTCTTCTAATCCTTGGCTGCTCCTGGTCTCTTGGACGCCTAGCAGGCTCATAATTATATGGTTGTGGTCCGTCATATGCATTCAAACATTTATTTTCAACCTCTTCTCTGTCAAAACTAGCATTGTGATCCATATTTATTACTACGTTAGACCGGCCGCTCTCCCCCATGTGACGTCACATGCGGGAGGTCACATGGGGAGGCTTTTTTTAATGCGGAAGTAAACATATCAGATGTCACTGTAGTGTATATTTTTTGGAAATTAATTTCCCTACACATTTATTCACTGGTGTGTCTAACCTGCAAGTTGCTCTTTAAGATACTTACACATTTTGTTAATCAGAATTATCTCCACATTTCCCTTTCAGGAGAAACTGAAGCTCTTTCAAGAAGTTAAAGTGGAGTTTGATCAAACAGCAGGACACATGAAGGTCCAGGCTCAAAACAAAGAGACGCAGATTAAGGAGCAGTTCAAGAAGCTTCAACAGTTTCTAGAAGAGGAAGAGGAGGCCATGATGGCTGCACTGAGGGAGGAAGAGGAGCAGAAGAGGAGGATGATGGAGGAGAAGATGGAGGCTGTGAGCAGAGAGATAGCAGCTCTTTCACACATAGTCAGAGCCACAGAGGAGGAGCTGAGAGATGAAGACGTCTCCTTCCTGCACAACTACAAGGCTGCAGTGGAGAGGCTGCAGCGCCCCCTGCTGGAGGATCCACAGCTGCCCTCAGGTGCTCTGATAGACCAGGCCAAACACCTGGACAACCTCAGCTTCAACATCTGGAGCAAGATGAAGGACATGGTGTCCTACTCTCCTCTCATTCTGTACCAAAACACTGCTCATCCAGACCTCGTCCTGTCTGAAGATCTGACCAGAGTGAGACGAGGAGCGGAACAGAAGCTTCCTGATAATCCAGAGAGGTTTGATAATTACGGGTTTGTCCTGGGCTCTGAGGGCTCTCAGCCTGCAGAATGAGCTCCAGAGGGTCAGAGTGAATCTGGACTAGAACGGAGGAAAGTTGTCGTTCTCTGATCCTGACACTAACACACATACACACACACTTTCACTGAGAAGATGTTTCCATACATTAACACTGTGGAGGAAGTGAAGATATTACCACTGAAGGTTTGTGTGACAGTGGATCAGAGCAGGTAGAGATAGAGAGGATCATTAACTCCATATTTCTTATCTCTTAAAGGGAAAATAAACTGCATGTAACCTCTGCAGCTGCACCTCCTGCTGGCTCATTATAACAAACATGTGTTTATCTTTGTCATATTTCCGTTTATCAGAATCAGATTGTGTGTGTGTGTGTGTGAGAAAAAAAAGTGCAAATAAACGTTACTTAAGCGTTTTTGTTAGTTTAACTTTTATTGGTTCAAACTAATTTCTTTGTACAAATGATATGCTTTGAAAACGTGATCCAGACAGAATCAGATGTTTCCATCAAGCTGCTTTTAGTGACATCTCTAACTCGTTATCTGTTCGTTGACTTGTTGTGATGACTTGTTTGGCTTCTGTTGATGTTGTGAGACTCGTGTTTAACCAATATAAAATGAAAAGCTTTCTACATATTGTGATCGAAATTCTTGAAATAAACTAGTCAAAGAGTTGTCCTTCTGAGTCTTTAATCATGTTTTGCAAAAGAGGCGCACAGCATACTGAGAGCAATGTCTCCACAGCAGAGTGCAACTACTCAGACTGAAGAGAGGGCTTTCATACAGTTACAATGAATACGCTTATTCATGCGATAACTGACCCCTGACCCTATCAAAGTGCAATAGAGCCATGATCACTGGTCACCCCCTGTGTGATCACATGACTGATCATTTACCTGGGTGATGAGACACACAATGTTATTATTTATATGTTATATATGTCACGTCATAGTATTCAATTCTCTGATAATCATAATTTCCATTACAATATAAAATAGGCCTTGACAACAGTCTAACAAATCCAAACTATGATGCAAAACTCAAATAAAAGAATAAACAACTTCTTTCTTTAACGTTGCATTATATAACTAACGGTTATAATCTCTGTCTTGTCTGTCTCTTAAAAGGCAGGTACCGTGTGAAATGTAGTCTTTTAAAGTCTCTCGACTACAGAACTCACCATTAGGGGTGACAGTATTTTCCCTTTTTCTACTAAAGCCTGGCTGTAGCATTAGTCACTTCATACAGTTGTGGCATCCCAGTGTAAATCACTATTGTATTAATTAACAAAAAGAATACACAAATTCAAAGGAGCTTTAATGGCATCACCATATCAAACAACTTCTTCAGAATCAAGATGAAATAAGAGTTTGAGAAATAAATAAAAACTCAGTTATGCAAAAAAAGAATGTGTCGACGTGATACATCAACAACATTAAAAGAAAGAAGTAAGAAAGACCAGTGTTCCTGAACGCAGCACACAGAACGAGATTTGGTCACGTGAACACAGAGTTTCCACGATATTTAAGGAGGAGGAGCACAGGGTATATTTCACACACACAGCCGGAGCAGGAGCACTGCAATCAGCATGGAGGAGGACAGCAAGACCCCCGGAGAACAAGCAGCAGCCTCGGACTCTCAGGTGAGTGTTCAACGCTTCATCCGGGGACAAAGAACTTTGAAACAACTAAAAACACGAGGAGAGGAAACAGGAAATACGAGAAGCGTTTTATTTCGAAAGTCAAATAAGCGTTCCTCTGGACCGCGGTGAAGTTAGTTTTAGGTTTGATATTCGACAGACATTCGCGGACCCGCCAGCAGCGTCAGTTTCCCCTGCTGCTGGCTGTATTCTTTCACACACAGTGACCTCACAATCTACCCACAATGCAACGCGCGCCATATATATATACAGTGGCGTTTCTATGTGTACAAAACTGGGGGGCAGAGAGAGGTGGGGGGGAGAGAGAGAGAGGGGGGGGCAGAGAGAGAGGGGGGAGAGAGAGGGGGAGTGTCAAATTACATACTGAAGACCACACGGAGCAACACTGTGAGCTCATACATTTACGTACTGTTATGGGAATCGTTACACGGAATAATGTTGTTTAAGCAGAGCGGTAAACACTGGCCGAATGCCATTAACAGCTTCACGTTTCAATGGGTACTGGGGCTGATTTGGACGGAACGTAGTTTTAGGAGTGATCACTACCGGCTCCGCTGAGCGAATCAATCCCACATCATATTTGTGTGCTGCCCACAGTGTCTGCTGCACTGTTTTTAGCGCGTCAGGGAGCTCAGAAATATGACTGAAACATGAGAGCTCCGGGTCAAATGGGCCAGTAACGGGGTTAACATAGTCATCACTGCCTGTGAGAGTCATAGAACGCAGCGCATGAACTGGGCAGTCAATGCTATACTTAACCACGTTCTGTGATGGGGAAAACTGAATCAACGGGTCGTCTGTGTTTGTCCAATCAGTGCTAGATTCCCAATCTTTAACGATTGGACCCAAATCCCTCCATTTCTCAGTGGGCCCCCTAGCTAGTGAAATGTGCGGGACCGCCCCTGGGATTTGATACAGTTTGTGTTGTGCTGGTGTGAGTGTGACAGAAATAGCACTACACACTGAATTCCAATACATGGTTTTCAGCATGATCTCATCATTCACACATTCCAACAGGAAAGCCTCATCATAGTATTTACACGGATCATTAACCACATTAGCCGTACAATGCAACTGAGGCGTTTCCATGAACACAGCAGGTGGAAAGACACATTGACGAGTCAAACGCAACAATTCCTGAGAATCAGGACATGTCATTGGTACACACTCAACAGTTCTTTATCATCAAATGTGGGATTCTGAAACAGCGAAGGGGATGGTCGTCGGACCTTGAGACCCTCATCTGTAGAAATGAGGTCCAGGCCGAGCCGGAGAATCAGATCTCTCCCCAGTAAATTTATGGGGCAGACAGATGATACAAGAAAACTGTGTTTGACTGAGGTGGGAAATGGGTGACTGTCATCACCGTTATCTTTACACTGCAGCGGTACGGAAAACCTCTCCTTTACAGTTACCCCAGCCGCTCCTATTGAGTGAATAAATCTACCACTAAATTTGCAATCTGGCAAATCTGCTTTCTTCACTACAGAATGGGTAGCCCCAGAATCAACCAGAAATGTGACATCGATACCCATTATAGCCAAAGTCAGTGTGGGAAATTTCTTAAATGCCTTTTCAGTGTCATATTTCAAATATGTGCCATTTCCCTCTACAGACATTCTCTCTAAATCTTCCAATGTTTCAATTGCTTGTATGATGTGTGTGTGTGTGTGACTTCCCTGGTCTGATGCTGTCGGCAGTGGTTCCGTCTCCTCCACCCGAATTCCTTCTTCCCCCGCTCCCTCCATCACCTCATGTCAGTTTGAAGAATTGTCTTTGTTACGGTCCACTTGTTTTGTTTGAAAGTTATTCTCCCTCTTTTCGTGTGGGCAGTCATCTCTCCAATGAGTCTTCTCTCCGCAGTTGAAACATTGATCATCGCCGTATCGGTTTGGTCGGCGGCCTCGTCCTCTCCCTTTTCCTTTTCCTCCTCGACCCCGGTAACCTTCTCGTCCTCCTTGTTTCCCTCTGTCCTGGTCATCACTTTGGCCCGGATTGGTTTGATTGGCTTGATTGGACCAGGCGGTTGTGACAGCCTGGACCATGGTTAGTTGGGCTTTTTCTTTGCGGTTGCGGCGTTTCTTTTCCTCACTGGCCCTCTCTTCTAACAGGTGTTTTTCAGCATGCACGGCATGTCGGCGAATTTCTTCCAGCCGGGCGCCGTCCATAACGCCAATGCAGGAGCTCCGCACCGATGCAGAAATAGCCGGGGATAGGCCGTTGAGGAAAGCGTTGCTGAGGTGGGTCTCCCAGACCCCCAAAGCGAGTGGCAGTCCTCCTTCTTGTTTGATCAGGCCGCTGTTCTCGACGAACACCTGTTCTAGGCGGTGGAAATAGTCATTTACTGTCTCATCGGCATTCTGTTTGCATGCGTAGATTCTTGACATGTCGACCTTGGCGGGAAACTTTTCTGTTATTGTTGCCTGAAGGGTGGTTAACGCATCGCGGTAGGCAGCGTTATCGTTATGCTCCCACTCGGTCTCTGCCATGCGCTGCTGGCCCCCCAGTAGCTGGGTGAAATGGCTGACGTGTGTTGGACCCATCTTTAAAGTCAACAGTTTCTTTATCTCTGGCATGGTGGGGGAGAATTGTCTGCAGAACATCTCGAGTGCTGTGGAGAATTTTGCACCTCCCAACTCAACATTTGGGAGGTGATCTTTGGATATCTCTTTCATCTCTGATATGGTCCATGGTCGGTAGACGAATAAAGGACCACGGGGTCCAGCCACCTGGATCATGGGACAATGGGTTTGAATATCTTCGAGGTTTAGGTCGTCTTCGTTGAGTTCCTGTCTGCGTGGATGTGCTTCTTTGTAGAGTGCAGCTTTCTCCACTCCGTCTTTCCTCTTTAATTCTTTGTTATGGATCTTTGTCAGTCTTTCCTCTTCTTCTTCGTCTTCCTTTATTCGCTTCTCTTCGACCCGTCTCAGTCTTGCCTCTTCCTCCTCATCTTTTTGTCTTTGTTTCTCTTGTCTTCTGCTCTCTCTCTGTCGGTCCCCATCTGTATCTGCTGCGTTGGGGAGGTTTGGGGCTGGTAGGCTGATGTCCTGGCTAGCAGCACCCATCGCATCCTGCTGTAGAACGGGGGAGGGGGGAACGACAACGCCAATTGTTACAGAAATCCATGGTCGAGGAGAGGGTCCCCCACGCCTGTGAGAAACGGATACATAGAAGCGGTGTGTGGGTTATATGGAGGAGGAAACACAGGGGGGAACAGGAAACCTTTTTTCTCTTTCCTATCCCCCTCATCCCCGGCCTGTATGTTTCGTATGGCCGCGGCCAATTGCCTTCTTTCACGGCACTCTGCTTCCTTCTCCCAATATTTTAAACACTTCCTATGAATGTCCAGCTCCGCTAGATCCTTCACTGTAATTGTGTCCTTACTCTTCATTCCCTCCTCATGTATTTGTAATTTATCCCTTAGATCTTTGATCTTTATCTTGCTAAAGGAACCCCCTTTTGGAAATCCGAACATTTCCGTCCAGATACTTAATTTAGAGAGGCTGTCTTCACCATGTTTTGCCCTCATGACATCTATAATCGGACCCCCGGGAGGGTGAATCAGCCCCCCAGTCTGCTTTGATCCTATGGCAAAGCTACTTAAGTGTTTACTCTAAACACCCCGTGTTATAAAAACACTACTTTTTCACCCGTCGGTGATTGTGATTTTCTTCTTCAGTGAATCACAAAAACTGATCGTAAACCCAGGCTACGACGGATAATCCCTGATATCCTTACTTTGAGCAATCCTTCTTATAAATGTCATGGGGTTTTTAATTTACGTTTTAACTTTAAACAATTTAGACACTGTACATCTCACCGAGTATTTGAAAGGCCGTCTGAGTTCGTTTGGATTTCGTGAAGTCAATCGGTTTCACCCCGGCGCTGGTCCTCTCGTCCCGTACGTTTTCTGTCGAGGTAGAGGAGAATCCGAGGATCCCGGTGCGACCACCAGCGACCGCAGGTGTCCCCAATCGACAAATCAGAAATCCTGTTCGTGACGCCAATTGTTATGGAAATCTGAGACCTAATCAATACCGTGGAGATACAAGTCAGAAATATCAAGCAATAAATGGTGAAAACAGACAGAGTTGTCTTTCCGGTTATTTATTTGAATATATTCAAAGACACAGGTCTCACAGAACACAGAGTATCCTTAGAGAGTGCGCGCAGAGTAGAAAATGCATACAGGTTATATAGGATTTTGGTCAGTTCAACAACATCCCGTCACTCATTAGGAGGGGCCCTGGCAGGAGAGATAAGCTTTCCAAAGGAACTGAAACTGTCAATCACTAATAGATCGAACCAGGGGCCTGTTCAGCAAGAGGGAAGTGAGGAAACTTGTCAGCAACAGATGGAGGGCTAAGAAATGGGGAACTTGATTATAAGACAGGGAAACTAAACAGGAACTTGCCCATTGCCCTGCGCTTGGTACCCAGCCCCCTCATCAAGTTCAGACCTCAGGCGACCTTAAATGTCACTTTCCAGGGAGACAGAGGACATGAACTAAAACACATCACCCAGACCTTACTTCGACATTTTTAAAGGTCATGAGTGTCAATACATCATTACAGACACACTTGCAAAATGCTGACAGAGGTCCTAAGCAGAAATATATTATTATAGAAATTGCTGAAAGTGCTAGTAAAGGTTACAAGCAGAACACATCATTCTAGGAACTGCAGTGGATGTGTCCATGTATGGTCTTATAGAAAGTCTGCACTATAAGAAACCTTAAACTACATATATACAAAGTTTGCCATTACAGTACACAGCGCGGGGATGTCATAGTAATGCAGGTCGTCGCACGCATCTCTGCTTGTCTAGCTGACATCTCTCAGTGGATGTTTGATCATCACCTCAAGCTCAACCTTGACAAGACTGAGCTGCTCTTCCTTCCGGGAAAAGATTGTCCCACTCTTGACCTAACAATCAACATCGGCACCTCAGTTGTTTCCCCGACTCAGACTGCAAGGAATCTG